ATTTTGTGGGATAATCTAAATCAACCTCAAGTATATAACCGATATTAGAATCATTAGGGGTGTTCAATATATTTTCAGAATAAAAATCAATACTTTCTACCCACTGAAAATCGCCAAAAGGTAAGAATTGACTCATGGCTGTACCATATAAGTTATTTACATCAAAATACATAAGGTATGATGATTGTAGGGTAGGGTTATACTCATTTCCCATAAAGATGTTATTTGCTTTCCCATATCGGTTACTACATTGTGATATTCCACCTCTAATACCTCTTTCTATAAACATTAATTTATCAATATCTGTTAATAACTCTAAAGTAATTCCAGATACTTTTAAACAACTGTCGTAGGCTAAACCTGGGGCTGTATAATACTTTAAACATTCCAAATTATATGTTTTTAAACAAACCTTACGAAAATTTTCAAATACATCAGCTAAAAGCAATACATCTGTTTTTAAATATAATTCCATATATTCACAAAGATTTTGAATTTTAAATGTATCCCATACTTTTATAGCATGATCATATTCACATTGTTCTATACCAGATTTTCTTAAATTACTATAGAAACACTCAAGGGCTGGTAATTTTAATTCGTTTAATTTATCCCAACTATCAAGATATTCATACGGAAAAATACCTTTTTTCGATACTAACAAAAATTCATCTTCATTTCTACAGAAACTTCTGGTTATAACCTTTTCTGAATTGGTGAGATATGAACTCAATTTATCTAAGCTACTAGCCATAAATCGAAATGAATCGAGAAATCGAAGCTGTACAGATGTATTTTCAATGTATTTAGTAAAAGCTATATATTTTTCTTTATTTACTGGGAGTAAATTTATCATTCCTGGTATTTCTGTTACTAATGCCCTAATAATAAAGTGACTATCATAACCTGATAAATTGTGAAATATTACTGGGATAACATGATCATTTTTATAATTTATATTGCAGGAGTTGTGAGCACTACCTCTATATTGACCTATGAAATGACAATGATCCTTTACTTTAATATCATCTTGTACAAATTCTTTTTCACATATATGACATACATTGGAAGAATAAAAATCGAGCAATTGTTGATTTGATAAAGGATGCATAGGAATTGGATTTAAAAAAATATTATTTATTTCCATACTTAGTTGATATAAACGTTTAACAAACCACTCAATACAGTCTTTACCTGTATAGCACTCAAATTTTGAAAGAGAATTATTAAAACTACACAAGAGATAATATGCTATACTACATGGAATATGTTTCTGTACTTTAATTTGAGTAGTAGTATTATTAAAATTTTCACATTTTTCTAAGATACTTTCTAAATCTGCATAAATAACAAACGGAGATTTTTCTTTATTTTTAAACTGAGTAAATGATATAAATTTTTCATCTTCTGAAGGTACTGATATTTTACTTTTATTCATTTTGCGACATATAAAAATATGTCTATTTAATATTTCTTCGGAAAAGAAATGATTTAAACATCTATCGCAGAAATATTTTTTACTTTTCAAGTTACCCATTTGTCTGCACAATAAGCGTGATAAGTCTTTTATTAATGCAAAATGATATATTGGTTTATAATCATTTATGTTTGAACTCATTAATTGATCGTTTTCATCAAAATTAGATTTAATTTTAGTTGGAATAATTAATAAATTAACACTCTTTAAGTATTCAAAATTACTCAAGCAAATAGGAACAATTTCACATTTTTTTTTCTTCCATTCTATACCAAAGACATTTACACAAATACTATTTAAAATTTCAAATTTTGATATATCTTTCAATTTGATAGGAAATTCAATTCCATCATATTTTAATACGCTACTAAAATGTGGATATGAGGATACTCTAGAGGAATTTTTTGTATTTGAACAGGGATAAAAGGCTGCTACAATAGACCAAAGAAAACAATAAGGATCACTATTTTTAATATTAAGCACACCTTTGCTATTCTGGATAAATTTCGGTATTTCAATATATGTTGAAACACCCACAGTAATTGGTACATAATTATTCATATTAACTTTTAATTCTAAAATTTGATAAAGACTCCAACCACTATCTCTCTCCTGAAATTCTTCAAGTTTATTTAAAATATTATCTTTAATGTAATTATTATAAAATAATTTTAAATCTGTATTATTAAAAATAATTCTATTCTTGGTTTGAAAATGTTTAATATCTGTCTCACCAGTTTGTGGTTTTATAAAATTTGCTAAAAAGGTTACATTAACTTTAAGTAAAGAATGTCTAAGTTCTTTTTTAATTTGAAATGCAAAAGATCGAAAAGCTTTATTAAAAAATGCAATAGGGTCCTTAATATTTAAATTAATTATTGCTCCAGTTTTTATACGACCATTGAAACATGATTCTAAATTTTGCCAAATTAAGTTTTGCTTTTTATTTTTTCTTATATTCTTATAAAACCTAAACCTTTCTTTAAAACATTTTAGGATACTATAATTTGATTCTAATTTAGAAAAAGTTTTAACATTTTTTAATTTATTAAGTCGAATATATTTTTTCAGTAGAAAAAGTGTCCTATTTAAAAATTTAATCCACTTACAATAATCATTTTTACTTTTAATTAACTTACCTACTTGTTGAATTTTCAAAACTGTATTTTCAGAAATTTCATTAATTTCTGCAGCGGTACTCATTATAAGTGGAGATAATTGTAAACTGTACTGTACAATAAACAAAAACGATATAAAATTAATTGCACTGCTACCAAAATTTATTGTATATATATATATATATAGCTCGATTGCAAAGTTGTTATCTTGTTTACTCTTTCGGTTATTTTCCAAATGAAGGATATTTATTCTGACGCATTATTTGTCTAAAATTTTCTTCGAAATATATTGCAATAACACACTATTTTCCAATTAAATAATTTTTAAATTTGAATCTGTTGAATGTTTATTAGTAACTTGTTATCACATGTTTTTGTTATTCTAATATATGGTAATCAATAAGTTGTTATCTTGTTTACTCTTTCGGCTATTTTCCAAATGAAGGATATTTATTCTGACGCATTATTTGTCTAAAATTTTCTTCGAAATATATTGCAATAACACACTATTTTCCAATTAAATAATTTTTAAATTTGAATCTGTTGAATGTTTATTAGTAACTTGTTATCACATGTTTTTGTTATTCTAATATATGGTAATCAATATGTTTATTGATATCCCATTCAAAGAACGAATGATTCCGTATTATTAATATGTTACTTTGTATATATTTTTTATTACTAATAATCTATCAAAATATATTGCAATAACACACTAATTTCCAATTAAATAATTTTTAACTTTGAAACTGTTGAATGTTTATTAGTAACTTGTTATCACATGTTTTTGTTATTCTAATATCTGGTAATCAATATGTTTATTGATATTCCATTCAAAGAACGAATGATTCCGTATTATTAATATGTTACTTTTTATATATTTTTTATTACTAATAATCTATCAAAATACATACGTATCACTATCACATGTTTGTAAAATGTAAACATTTTTTCTTCAATTCTACTATATAATATCAAGCTAGCGTGTATTCGATTAACAGTTTACAACAGCAAAATAAGATGTCTACAGTACCGTGCACTATTTTATTAAAAAGTAAAGATGGCCACGCACTTCCATCAAACCATCTGATCACACTTTGCAAACATCTATTTCGGTAAGTTATAAGAGTTATTTGTTAAACTTTATATTTATTTTTTAATTTTGTATAATTTAGATTTGGTAGGAAGACTGTGGAAATGAAAGGGGACCAAGTAGTCCTGAAACTCTCCTACAACCCAAAATCTGAGACGATGGAGAGAAAACTTGGTAATCTACCAATCGCATACATCCGATTGGGTGTAGAAAGTGATGAGGAGCTTTGAAAAAATATATGCAAATTTACGATTTTGATGGGAACGAAACCACAAGTGTGCCAGCAGAAGCACTAGAGGATGAGAAAGAAGAGAAGAAGCTTGCGATTGAGTCAAGTACATTCAAGGATCCTAAGAAAAGGAAGCATGTAAAGATCAGGAGGACTGAGGAAAATACAGATGAAAAAAGAAAAAAAAAATATTGGAAAACAGAATAATAACACCTGCATCTGCATCCCCATCATTTACAGCCGTATACGATGAAGATGCGGACATGTACGAAAGCCAAAAATATACTATTGTACAAAATTAATATTTAGTATTATTGTTTTATATATGTTATATTGTAGAAAAATATTTAAATATTTTATGTATATGGTATCTTATAGTTTTTAGTTTGTAGTAAAGGGATTGTATGAGTATATAGTTAATAAAAGATAGTATTACAATTTTAAGTGTTTTATTAAGCATATATTTTACACTAATTTTCAATATTTTGTCTAAAATCTATGAAATATATTATTTTAAATATTTAGTTAAAATTTTTGATTATTACAATAAGTATACTAATAATATAAGAAATAAACATTTTCAACTGCACAATATAAACTACTATCTAAATGATCAGATTTGAATATATTTTTTAATCGATCAAATGCTGGACATCTTTCTATATATAAATCAATTATTTCATTATCTAAAAACTTTTCTAACCATTGCTTCTTTTCTGCCCCATTAACAGCAACAATTTCTGAACACACGTGTTTTTTAATGAAACTCGAAATATCTTCATACGGTAAACATTTTTCTTCTCCATACAAAACATCAAATTCTAAACCATGGAAATTGCAAGTTATCCATTCCATATGATCTCTAACTTTTGAATTGTACTGTTTCAATTCAAATGGATAACTTATAAATTTATGTGCAGCCAAATGTCCATTGTCATTAACGTTGACTATTGCCAATTCTTTACAAATAAAATTTCCCGATCCATACTGAAAGCCTTGTACATCAATAATAAACATTTTCAATAGCGATGCAGATATGTCTATTTGCTTCGACTGACTACGAGCGACTGAATATTTTAATTATTAGAGTACTCTTATGGTACTAGTTAATGGGTTGTACTTTACTAATTTATCATGTAAAATTAGACAATATGCAGTAGTCTTGGCAGGGATTGCTTCACTTGTTTCAAACTCAATACGAATATCGACTGCACCACCCTTTAAAATATCCTCTCCTTGACGTGAACAATCAATGACCACCAGAGGGGCATTGTTCTTGAATAGAATGGGATAGTAGGTTGGTTCACTAAACGCTTTATAGTAGTATGATTTTTGGAACTGAGTATACATTTCATATAGGACTGCATATCTATTATTAGTAAAATCTATATTTAAATTGTCATAAGGATATACTTCTGAGTTTAAATATACTTTTAAATTGGTCAAGTTACAGTGTTGAAATCGACTCATATTTTTTGTTATATGATTTTTTACATCTGTTTGAAATCCAATAATAATATAACGAGGTTTTTCCAACTGATTACTCGATTTAACAGCCCATGTATGGTTTTTAGTTTGTTGCAATTCTGGATATTCATGCAGTTCCCAACTCCTAAAGGCAATCGGTAAATCTCTGTTGTTTTCAAAATTTTTTAGTAATCGTAATTTTTGACTATCATTAACTGATATATGAGGCATTTTCCACAACACTTTATTCAAAGTGATCTTATAGCTATCCTTTGTTTCATTAGCTGAATGAATGGCATTAAAATCAGAATTATTTCGTATGAGGACTAGTTCTTGTTTTACATTCATTACAATTTTATGATAGTCTTCAGCAAAACCCATCAGCATTTTCAATGGTATGCAAACATTAAAATTTCCATTGCCATCGATTAATGATGGATTCTTTGTATCATGCCACCCGGCGTTATGTAAACCGTTAGCCTCTGTAGGAGTAAATGAAATATAACCTTTCATAGTTGATGTAACTCCAGGATTTCTAACTCTATCAACAATTACTCCTCCCATTTCATAGCGAATTTCATCAAACAAAAAAGCAACACCATTATTCACAAATTGTACATCAGCACTTGCTGTGTTGTCAGATTTTGTTAATTTTCCTTCAATATAGAGGTAACTCTGACTTGGTAAAGTATACAGATCTTGAGTTTGTATTGGGATTCTAATTTCATCGTTGTTGTTCAAGGTTGTAGATGAATAGGGTTGGTGAGTGTGATACTGATAGCTCACTATTGAATCATCTTGTGTAACACTTTCATTAACTTTTAAGATGTTATAACTCATCTTTACTGGTACACTTGAATTTACAATTACAAAAAACTAAAAAATCAGTTAAACTAGTTCTAAGACGTAGCTTCAAGTTTACCCAAAATTTCCTAACTTTCTTAATTTTGAAGTCGACACTTCTTTTTCAATTTAAATCCTAATGATTGTAGAAATTCTTGATTGGAACGTGTTAATTCTTTTAACTGATTCTTACTACTGAACCGCCTCTGAAAACTCTTTTGCTTTATATACATTTCATTGGACGGTGTATAAGAATCATTATTATAGATAAATACCATTATGTTTCTTTAGATGTAAACGTACCGTTACCAGCTCGTTTCTAAAATTGATCAGTCTTCCATCTTGATCTGTTATTTTAAGAATAATTTCGTCAACATAGCGCATGCTGATTGGTAAATATATTACATTTGATGGTTTTTCAACGATTTTAAATCCTGGAGGGGTGGTAGGATAGAACATATGAATGATATGAACCGGTTTTCCATTGTTATATGAATTTGTTACAAGGTTACATTCTATCGCTATGCAGTTCACTTTAAAAATATCAACAGGGTTCTTTGAAATGTGTATCTGGTTCTCTTCTAATATTTGGTTACTAAAGCCCAATAGACTTCCAATGGAGTTTTCCTTTGAAAAATCAACAGATTTATTACATTTAAGTTCACACTGTAACGTATTATGATTTGCCTGTATAGAAATATCCACTTTCTCTTCTTTTGAATGTTGCTTAAACCATTCTTGCAAATAACGATTTATATCTTGAATTTCATAAGATCCTTCCGGTAAAACAATCTTTTTATTATCATAATAAAAAATATTATTGGTACTATCAATATTCGGAATGGAATTATAACTTTCAAAATTTATTAATCCTAATACATATTCATCATTTTCACTGAGAACAATAGGAGGATATATTCTTGCAGAAAGTGTGGATTCTTTGCCTGATAAAGTAAACGTGTATGACATTGTAGAAGGTTGATAAAATAATAAAACTCTAAATATCTAAGTGTAACTATTTATTAGAAATTTTAAACATAAATGACCACAATTTACAGTATTATAAGTTTGATAAGGTGTATGGTTATAAAATATGTTACAAAGTCCTTTAGATTTAAAATATGTTACAAGTTCTAGCGGAGGAGTTAAATTACCATAGCTATCAAAATAGTAAATATTCCTATTTATTTTTCGATATGCAGTCCAATGAGTTCCAGCTCCTGACATATTGTCAAGATTAACTATTCCAGATTCAAATTTACGAATTTTTTGTGGTAGACAATCTTTCATAAATACACCTCGAAAATGTGCCACTTTCAATTTTTTAGCATATGTTGTTAATTCGAAATTATTAAGAGCATGTTTAGGTAATGTTAAGGTTGGTTTTTTGATTTGAAACCTCGATGTAAAAAAAGTCCCAATCCAGTCTTGTATGGTTTTAAGTACAATCCTTTTCCCATTGCAACAGCTTCCATAGTTCTGTTGTGACGTTGTGCTTCGCTGAGTTGTTCTTTTGCTGCCTTAGTTTCTTTTACGGCTTTTACAACATTTGCGATTCCACCGCTTAGAGCACCTAATGCACTAAGACCAGCAAAAATTGGTATCAATGGTAGAATACCTCCAGTTTTAGGAATTTTTATAACACGTGGTGTCTTAATAATATCTCCATTGTTTCTAATGGTAGCTGTTTTTAATCCTATTTTTAAGGCACTTTCAAGATTTGTAGGTTGTTGTTTCCGTATAGCCCTTTTAATAGCACTCGTTACCGATTGAAAAGATTTACCATTTTTGTTTTTCTGCTCTCTTCTCTTTTTTATAACCTTCCTACTTTTAGATTTTATAGACTTAATTTTAGGTTTTTTTATTGTTTCACTCTTCGTTGTCTTTGTCATCTTGCTGCTATTTTTCAATTAAGTTAGTAATAGATTTGTAACACTTTATATATATTATGTAAGTTTGTAGCACTTTATATATATTTAGATCTTTTAACATAATCATTCTCATCATCATTATCATGAACTATTGTATCATATGAACGTTTTAAACTTATTCTCTTTGCTTTTTTATTAGTATTTTGATTTACATCATCATCAGCATCATTTAATTGTCTTTTGGTACCTTGTATTGATAGGGCTGAGAATAAATGATTTTCATTTTCATTGTGAATTTTAGGTTTTTGTCTATTTATATTTAAATCCATTTCATGATCATCATCCTCGAAAATTCTACGTTTTTTACCTTTTTTTACAATTTCAGTCAACGGTTCTTGCTTTTTTTCTTTACTTTGTACATTATCGCTTCTCTTAATTTTGCGTTGAATTTTCTTTTCATGATAATTATAAATAGGAAGCTCTTGATTTTTATTTAAATCATCAACATTGTCATCTTCATTATCATAACACTTACTCTTTTTTATTTCAAATTTACGATTTTTACTTCTATCTAATTTCACTCGAACAATTTTATCTTTACAGCTTTTATTCTTTTGTTTACTTTGTTTTTTTGTAATTGTATTTTTAGTCTTTTGCTGTAACAATTTTCGATGTTTATCTTTCAATAGTTCCATTTTTTTCAAATAAACTTGCATAGATTTTATAATTTGTTCCATTATCTTTGAACTCTGTTGATGTTCAGATTTGAATGAACCCATTCTATTTTTATGTGTCAATTTATTCAATCCCATACCCAACTTTAACTTGGTGTGCATTGCAGCTGAAACACCTAATGCTGCTAGTTTTTCTTTCCATGAAGCATCGTTTGAAGTAGTTCTACTTAGAGCTGCTTTAAGTAATGTTTTATCAGCCTCATGACGATCAGATAATACTTTTCTCTCTGAATATGCTATATCATGTTCTTTACACGCCTCGTCTAACATGTTAACACCTTTGTCACCGCGTTCTAAACGTTCACTCAATTTAGTTCCTGGTCCACAGTAATTATATCCCGGTAAATGTAACTCAAATGGTAATTTGTTTATTAAAGTGTTTATAACACCACTACCAGTATGTTGCTGCTGCTTTATATAATATTTCATGACTGCTTTCTAATCTTAAACTAAGTATAAATTATATAATGATCAATTTTTATAACCATTTTTTAGTAAACTTTGTAATCATGAAGAAGGTTGTTAAGCAAAAGACTACTTTGAAGATTGATAATCATGATATGGCTACAAGCGAACCTTTGAAACATAGCATTTTATTTCCTTCGACTATGCGATGTGTTATAACAGGACCATCCAACTGCGGTAAAACCAACACAATGGTTAGTCTCTTGGAACATCCTAATGGTTTGAAATTTGAGAATGTATATCTCTATTCGAAATCGCTATATCAGCCCAAATATATATACTTGGAAGATCTTTTAAAACCGATTAAAGGAATGGGATATTACGCTTACAATAGTAGTGAAAATATAATTCCACCATCCGAAGCGAAACCAAATTCAATATTTATATTTGATGATGTTGCCTGTGATAATCAAAACATAATAAGAGAATATTTTAGTATGGGACGACACAACAACATTGACTGTTTTTACTTATGTCAGACGTATACAAAAATACCAAAACACTTGATAAGAGATAACGCTAATGTGTTAATTATCTTCAAACAAGATGATTTAAATCTTAAACACATTTATACAGATCATGTAGGTACTGATATGTCTTTCGAAAATTTTAAACATATATGTGGCTACTGTTGGAGGAAACCTTTTGGTTTTCTCTCAATTTTCAAAGATAACAACATTAATAGTGGGCGTTACCGTCATTATTTTGATAGTTATATATACATTTAGTAAAGTGTTAAATCTTATTATAATAAAAGTCGTTCGATCAAGATGATGGCTCAAAAACAAGAAAAATCTGTTAAACAAAAGCTGATTAATAAAAGAAGAGATATCCGTAAAAAAATAAATATTTTAAAACATGGTCAAACGGTTCATGAGAATCTGTTTCAACCTATAACAAAACATTTGCAACAAATTGAAAGTAAATTAGAACCTATTTCAATCAAAGAGATATCAAAATCTCCGCTTGTTAATATTAAACAAGAAAATGTAGCAAACTTCGATAATCAGGAAAGCGATGAAGAAGAGTATTCTGCTAACGAGTATGATGCTGATGAAAAATCTATAGTTTCCGAACCAATTCCTACTGTATCTACATCAACACCAACAGAATTTACTCCACGACTAGGGATAAATACATCAATAAGTGTACCACGTATAAAGAAACGAAAATTAAGTTTTTCTGAAAGATTGCAACCGTACAACTTACGAAAATTAATAGTAAAAGGTGTACAACAAGATTTATATGAGGAAGAAAACCAAAAACAGCAGGAATATGAAAAAGAATTAAATAAGTCAATAAGAGATAAATCATTAACCGACTACTATGATCAGTATCATTCTTTACCACAAAAATATATAAAAAAATTTATAAACGACCCAAACAGTGATAAATCTGATGGTAAATTTCGGGTTAAATATGATAGGGAAATTGAAAAGTTTTCAATAGGTAATAAGAGAATTGATTTTGATGGACCTGATTTAATAATTGCTGGTAAAAAAGTAAAAGGTACTAAGGGACTTTACGGTTTGCTTTTTAATCAAAATGTTCCAAAGGTTTACACTAAAGAAGATGCTAGGAATTATACTCAGATTCTATTCAAAACGAATGCTATTAAGAAACATTTTAATCCAAGTTTATCGACTATAACAAGTAATAATAATAAATTTAAAAAGATTGTTGAACCAATTATGATATATCAATTACATAACAAAAATTATAGTGACAGTGATGATGATAAGGATAAAATAGGATGTGGAATGAGTATGAACGTTTCAGATAATTCAATCGATTACGTTTACTGGGACGATCCTAATGAATTAGTGGCAAGATTACAATTGTTAGTTGCTTCTGAGTCAGCAGGCAATACAGGTGTTGGAAATGAAATTGTTTCAATTGTAGAAGAACTACGAGAGGCAGATATTAT